GTGTGTATGTCTGTATGTCTGCATGTCTGCATGTGTGTATGTGTGTATGTGTGTATGTGTGCATGTCTGTATGTCTGTATGTCTGTATGTCTGCATGTCTGCATGTCTGTACGTCTGTATGTCTGTATGTCTGTATATGTCTGTATGCCTGTATGTCTGTATGTCTGTATATGTCTGTATGCCTGTATGCCATTGTATGCCTGTATGTCTGTATGTCTGTATGTCTGTATGTGTGTATGTCTGTATGTCTGTATGTCTGTATGTCTGTATGACTGTATGTCTGTATGTCTGTATGTCTGTATGCCTGTATGTCTGTATGCCTGTATGTCTGTATGTCTGTATGCCTGTATGTCTGCACGTCTCTATGTCGGCATGTCTGCATGTCTGTATGTCTGTATGACTGTATGTGTGTATGACTGTATGTCTGTATGTCTGTATGTATGTCTGTATGTCTGTATGTCTGTATGTCTGTATGTCTGTATGCCTGTATGTCTGTATGACTGTATGTCTGTATGACTGTATGTATGTATGTCTGTATGTGTGTATGTCTGTATGTGTGTATGTCTGTATGTGTGTATGTCTGTATGTCTGTATGACTGTATGTCTGTATGTCTGTATGTCTGCATGCCTGCATGTCTGTATGTCTGTATGTCTGTATGTCTGTATGTGTGTATGTCTGTATGTCTGTATGCCTGTATGCCTGTAGGTGTGTGAGTGTGTATGTGTGTATGTCTGTATGTATGACTGTGTGTCTGTATGTCTATGTGTCTGTGTGCCTGTATGTCTGTATGTCTGTATGTCTGTATGTCTGTATGTCTGTTTGCCTGTATGTCTGTATGTCTGCATGTCTGTATGTCTGCATGTCTGCATGTCTGCATGTCTGTATGTCTGTATGTCTGTATGTCTGTATGTCTGTATGCCTGTATATCTGTATGTCTGTATGTCTGTATGTCTGTATGCCTGTATGTCTGTATGTCTGTATGTCTGTATGTCTGTATGTCTGTATGTCTGTATGCCTGTATGTCTGTATGCCTGCATGTCTGTATGCCTGTATGTCTGTATGTCTGTATGTCTGTATGTATGTATGTCTGTATGTATGTATGTATGTACGTATGTACGTCTGTACGTCTGTATGTCTGTATGTCTGTATGTCTGTATGTCTGTATGTCTGTATGTCTGTAAGTCTGTCTGTCTGTCTGTCTGTATGTATGTCTGTATGTATATATGTCTGTATGCCTGTATGTCTGTATGACTGTATGTATGTATGTGTGTATGTCTGTATGTGTGTATGTCTGTGTGTCTGTGTGTCTGTATGTCTGTATGTCTGTGTGTCTGTATGTCTGTATGTCTGTGTGTCTGTGTGTCTGTGTGTCTGTGTGTCTGTGTGTCTGTGTGTCTGTATGTCTGTATGTTTGTATGTCTGTGTGCCTGTGTGTCTGTATGTCTGTATGTCTGCATGTCTGCATGTCTGTATGTATGTCTGTATGTCTGTATGTCTGTATGTCTGTATGTCTGTATGTCTGTGTGTCTGTGTGTCTGTGTGTATGTCTGTATGTCAGTATGTCTGTATGTCTGTATGTCTGTATGTCAGTATGTCTGTATGTCTGTATGTCTGTATGTCTGTATGTCTGTATGTCTGTATGCCTGTATGTCTGTATGTCTGTATGTCTGTATGTCTGTGTGTCTGTGTGTCTGTATGTCTGTATGTCTGTATGCCTGTATGTCTGCATGTCTGTATGTCTGTATGTCTGTATGTCTGTATGTCTGTGTGTATGTATGTATGTATGTATGCCTGTATGCCTGTATGTCTGTATGCCTGTATGTCTGTATGTCTGTCTGTCTGTATGCCTGTATGTCTATACGTCTGTATGTATGTCTGTATGTCTGTATGTGTGTACGTGTGTATGTCTGTATGTCTGTATATCTGTATATCTGTATGTCTGTATGTCTGTTATGTCTGTATGTGTGTATGTGTGTAGGTCTGTATGTCTGTATGTATGCATGTCTGTATGTCTGTATGTCTGTTATGTCTGTATGTGTGTATGTGTGTATGTCTGTATGTCTGTATGTATGCATGTCTGTATGTCTGTATGTCTGTATGTCTGTTTGTCTGTGTGTATGTGTGTATGTGTGTGTATGTATGTATGTCTGTATGTCTGTATGTCTGTATGTATGTATGTATGATGGATGGATGGATGTATGGATGGATGGATGTATGGATGGATGGATGGATGGATGTATGTATGATTGATGGATGGATGGATGTATGGATGGATGTATGGGTGGATGGATGTTTGGATGTATGGATGTATGGATGGATGTTAGTTTAAGTATGTATGTCTTTATTTCTTCCTTATAATTGATGATGTATGGATGTATTGTGTGGTTATGGATTTCTTGGTGTTATTGTATTTGATTTATGGATTCATTACTGTCTGATTTTTTTTCTGGTTTTATGGGTGGCGGGATGGATGTATGGATGGATGGATGTCTGGATGGATGGATGTATGCATGGATGGATGGGTGTATGGATGTATGGGTGGCGGGATGGATGTATGGATGGATGGATGTCTGGATGGATGGATGTATGGATGGATGTATGGATGTATGGATGGATGCATGGGTGGATGGATGTTTGGATGTATGGATGTATGGATGGATGTATGGAAGTATGGATGTATGGATGGATGTATGGATGTATGGATGGATGTATGGATGGATGGGTGGGTGTATGGATGTATGGGTGGATGGATGGATGGATGGATGTATGGATGGATGGATGGATGGATGGATGTATGGATCGATGTATGGATGCATGGATCGACGGATGGATGTATGGATGTATGTTTGGATGTATGGGTGGATGGATGTATGGATGTATGGATGGATGGCTGGATGGATGGATGGATGTATGGATGTATGTATGGATGGATGTACAGATGGATGGATGGATGGATGGATGGATGGGTGGATGGATGGATCGATCGATGGATGGATGTATCACATCACATCACATAGATATATGATAATATACATGTATAGATAGATAGATAGATAGATAGATAGATATAATAGATATAATAGATATAATAGATATAATAGATATAATAGATATAATAGATATAATAGATATAATAGATATAATAGATATAATAGATATAATAGATATAATAGATATAATAGATACAATAGATACAATAGATACAATAGATACAATAGATACAATAGATACAATAGATATAATAGATATAATAGATATAATAGATATAATAGATATAATAGATATAATAGATATAATAGATATAATAGATATAATAGATATAATAGATATAATAGATATAATAGATATAATAGATATAATAGATATAATAGATATAATAGATATAATAGATAGAATAGATAGAATAGATAGAATAGATAGAATAGATACAATAGATACAATAGATA